CAGCATGAGGACATGTGCACCTCATAAACCCCTCTGACTATTCTGTTGTCGCATGGGGGTGACTGTGGAAAAAGTGGCAGTCACTTTGGTAGAAATCAAACTTGACAATTAGCTAGCGTGTGCCCAGAAAACTAAGTAATTTAAACTACAAGCAAAGCGAGTTGTACTCTGACAGGAGCAATGAGTGTTATCAGCCTTCGGTAATCTAATCATCAGCAGAACGCGTATTTTATTTATACAGCACTGATTGCACCCTCTAGCGTCATTGCTGGTGCTTGCTTAGCTCGCGAATTAACAAGAGTACACATACCGTACATAATCTGAATAGTAATTGTTCAATTTTTACATCATAAAGCTATGATAGGATTATGAGGACTGCAGAACGGCTGGGTTCTGGAAATTTTGACCATGTGGTGCTCTTTGATGTGCTATCAAATCTAAGTACATTTGCCTCTAGTATTGTACCTTTATTACCGCGCGGCTGCCGCAGCAGGATTGCCCCCAATCATAACAGCACAACCGGAGACAATCTATAACATGGCTGGCGGCTTGTGCTGAGCGGTCATTAGTTGTTTTGCGACTTACATCCAATGACACCAATATGAAAAGAAAAAAAATTAGTGGGTAGCAACATAATTGCACAATTCGTTTCAGGAAGACGTTGGCTGTTCAGTTTTCCACTCCAGAAAAAAAAAAAAGTTTTCCACTCCTGAATAGCAACCTTCACTGGGCAAACCTGCTAACACCATGCCAATTTGCTTTCTGTAGGAATAAATCAATGGAATTAACACTAGCAGAGCCAGAAAAATATATATTGACTGGGCTTGAAAATAAATCAATAGTCCTTGGTATTTACATCGACTTTTCTAAAGCTTTTCATTAGGTTAAGCATTACATTCTGGAAGGAAAACTTAGCTATTAGGGAATATGAGGATATGCGTTATCTCTCATCAAATCATACTTATCCAACAGAACCCAAATTGTGAAAATCAACACTTTTACTTCTAAGGTCAGATACGTCCAAGGCGGAGTATCACAAGGAAGTAGTTTGGGGCCTCTCATTTTCAATATTTATTTGAACGATATCATAAGTGTCAATCCTAAGGCAAATTTTATTGTTTACACGAATGGCACAAGTATTTATTTCATTGGTAATCATATTCATCACTTAATAGAACAATGTAAAAACAAAATGAAAAATGTAGAGGAGTAGTCTGCATTAAATTTGATGAAAATAAATGTAAGCAAGACAAAAGCAGTCATGTTCAAGCCACAGAATAAGCGCATTCTTTCACATCAAGTTGCATTGCCAAAGTATAGAAATTAGCGAGAATTTAAAATGTTTGGGTGTTATATTTTCAGCCACCATGTCAGTTGCAGTCGTTTGTCGGCAGGTTGACATTTTATTCCAGATTCTTAACAAACATGTCAACAACGTTAACCCTGTTGTATTGATTGCTGAAAAAAATGCACGGTGGGAGTGGAAGCACCCACAGGAAACAGCATTTGTCCAAGCCAAACAATGTCTCAAGAACGCAGAGGTACTGGCTCATTTTGATTCATTGAAAGAACTGAAATTGGAATGTGACGCTTCACCTCATGGCTTTGGTGCAATGTTGTTCCACGTAGAAGGCACCGCTCATCGACCGATTAGATTTCACTCAAGAACTCTTATGAAAGCCGAAAGGAACTACTCGCAATCGGAGCGTGAGGCGCTGGCACTAGTTTTTCGTGTCACTAAGCTTTGGGACTATCTCTGCGGTCGTGAATTCACACTTTTCCTTGGTTTGAGTTTCTTTGTTTTCTTTCTCCCAGCTGTGTTGAAGCCTTGTAATGCGTAGGCAGGCATTGCTGTAAATCCAGGCAGTGTTTGTCTGTTTTAAAAGTGTTACACAGGTATTAATTGATTGCTCTACTATCTGACATAGATGTATATTGGTTGGTTTGTATTTGGTTGTACCCTTCCTGTAAGAGCCCTCAAGAGAGGGCTAACATTATTGTGAAAAAAAAAATAAATAAAATAAAATAAGTATTTACAAAACACTAACCACTCGTGGGACTGCTCAGATCCGACTGCCCAACGCCTGCTATGGCAGCAGCCCGCATTCAACGGCGGGCACTTTATCTCGGCGGATATCGCTACAAGCTTCAGTACACTCCCGGAAAGCAAATGCTGAATTCAGACGCCCTCAGCAGGCTCACACTACCGATTTCTGGCCACGCTGTCGAGCCACAAGAGTATGTGTTTTGTTTGCATAGCCTGGATGAAGGCACAGTAACGACGCGGGAACTACAACATCTGACAATCCATGACATGACACTTGCGCGCATCAAGCAATATGTGCTGCATGGTTGGCCCAGAAGAGCCGCGAAAGTGTGGAACCAGACATGGTTTCATTTTTTAACCGCCGACTTGAATTGTTCTTGTCACACGAGTTAGTCTATTAAGCCCACCGAGTTGTTGTGCCCTCAGGGGCTCGCAAATGTTTACTGCAGCTCCTGCATAAAAATCACGAAGGGTCATCGGCGATGAAGTGCATAGCGCGATCTTTGTTTTGGTGGCCAGGCCTGGACCGAGAAATTGAGAGACTGTTGGCGACATGCAAGAACTGCATTGACAACCTAATTATCCATGCCTCCGATCACACCACCAGCAAGCTGGCCACAAACACTTGAGAAGTGATCACGTATTCATGTGATGTAGATTTTGCCGGACCAATAGAAGGAATGATTCTGTTTGTAATTGATTCTCACACAATGTGGATAGAAGCCATCCCTCTCAAGCAATGAGCTACCACGGCGGCAACAGTCAGCTGTTTACGAGACATATATTCAGTCAGTTTGGCGTGTCCCGAACGATTGTCTCCGATAACGGGACGCAATTCGGGATTTTGCAACGTTCGTCGAGAAAAACATCTCGCACGTTAGGACAGCCCCGTTCCACCCACAATCTAATGGGGCTGTGGAACGAGCCGTACGAATGGTGAAAGATAGGCTTCAGAAGATGAAGGGAGGAAAATTGGAGCACAGACTGATACGACTGTTTTAAGGCTACAGAAGAACGCCTCAGCAAAGTGGGAAGTCGCCATCAGAAATGCCTTTTTAGGCTTCCAGGTCAGATCGCTTCTAGATAGCTGTTTTACATACTACAGTGGAGGAGCACCATATGAGAAAGGCAGAAACGCGCACGTGCCTCAGGTAAACAGCCGGGTGCACGTGCGAAACTATGGGGCCGGAAGCAAATGGACACCAGAACAAGCAATATCTACATCTGGGACTCGAATGGTGATCGCAGAGACACCTGGGGCGATCTTCCGATGGCTTTTGTCGATCAAGTCCGCCGGCAGCCTGCAGAAGAGCAAGTACAGGTCCAAGCGGAACACATGTGCTCGGACAATCCACCAGTCAGCACAGACGAATCAGCGCCACATCCTGACACAAGCCTGAGAAAACAGTTGAGTTCCCAAACTTTAGACCCAGATGATCCTGCCCCTGAATTAGTTCCGACACGTCAGTCCACCGAAGCTGAAGTTTCAAGTGAACCAGCTCAAGTGCTACAACGCTCTATGCGAACATGGCAGCCGATCTATCGCTTTCAATTTTAGAAGGCAGAATTAAGTGTTGTATCGGTATCTGTGTCACAGACTGGCTGTTCACTGCGCACGCGTAAAATTCTCTTCTCTGTTCCCTTTCTCCTCTCCTCCCCCACCACGATCTTTTATTAACACACGACGGCAGATAATAAACGTCATTCCTTTGCCTGTTCTCGAAGCGTGTGCACGTGTGTTCCTTTCGTGCCGTGGCCAGTAGGCCGCGGCTACATAACATATGCTTAGAATTTATTTTTGCTTCACAGTCGAACCTCTTTATAAAACACACTGATATAAGAGACAAATGGGTCTAAGAGACATCAGTGCGCCTGTAGTAAAGTATGGGTTGATAAGAAAATGCATACAAGGTGTCCTGTTTATAAGAGACATCTCATATAAAAGACAAGGACTGCTGCTCGGAGCATGTCTCTTAAGGAGGTTCAACTGTATTCAGGACCTGGATTGAATGGCGAAGACATATATACGATAATTTTCTAGCTGACTTGCAGAATCAAGTGTTTCAATATAGAGAGCATCGATAATTAGCCCATTGAAGCAGAGTCATGAACAAGAAAAAAAGGCCTCCTGAACAATGCTACTGCTGATGATGAGAGTATTCAGTTAGATTGTAAACATGATTGTATTGCTAACGATGACTAATGACATTGAAGATGACGAACACATTGATAGAGAGCTGTGGTCAAGCCAATGGGCCTTGAATGGTGTTGATGAAAGTGTTGAATATCAGCATTATTGCGTTGATAATTACGATAATGAACGATGATGAAAAAGGGGGTGTAGCCGTCCCACGCTCGGCCTTCAACCGTGTTAGTCTATCATTATTTTTCAGATTCTTGGCTTATAATTCATAGTTATTTCTATCGAGGAAACAGATGGTTTGACTGCTCGCTCAGCAACCATTTTTTATTTATTTGCAGTTTTCTCTCGACTAATTTTTCATGACTTTAAGTATCCTGCCACCCAGTATTTGGCCCATCCCCCTTTGTGAGGGAGCGCCATCCGTATGAGGTCATCATCATCAACTGATGCTCAGCTGGTCCTGCCCTCTTGGCTTATGATGTTTTCATAAGCCAAGCGGACACCATAGATGAATTTATCAGTCAGTCTAAAATAGTATCGAGCTAAATTCTTCATACTTGAAATATTTCAATACTAATATTCCACAGTCAAGTTCGTTACATTAGCTATTCCTAGCTTATACGAGAAGTGTTGCGAAGAAATACTGAAAAGAAAATTCACCTAATACTCGTCCAATCCCCTGCACTGGTTATGAGCCATGAGAGGAGGAGAAGAAGTAGACTGTTCAGGGTTTGGCCGAAATCTGAGTAGCTGCTACTGAATTTTCGCTTTGACATGCGTACATTTAGCATCAGAATTTACTAGCGAGTGCCTTTTCGGCTAGTGGATGCAGACAGAAGCCGTTTTCTTCATTTGAACCAGGGCCTTTCCTCTAGTCTACTTCTCTTTCTCCGCAGGAGCTACCAGTGGACCAGTTTCTATGCAGTGGCATCGCATCCATGCCTGTGGTCCAAGTCCTGTGCAACGAAGGTTGCATTATATTGAAATATAGAAAAGTGCTTCATTCGAAACTGAAAGCACCGACAGCTTACTATCACAGCATCACAGAGGTCCGATAGTTTGGCAAAAGAGACATTTTCTGCTTTTCGTTTGACCAGCTCTGTGTTCGAAACTCGCGTTTTGCTCGATGTTCGCAACCACTCCGGTAAGCACCTTTATTCCTGTTGTGTCGTGTCTTGGCGGCCCCGGTCAAAAAAAGAATGGCCGTCGCTTTGAAAAAGCGACGGCCATTCTTGAAAACGAGCCGACCTGGAGGAGAAGGTTGTTGCTCGAGTGGTGGGAAGCGACGGCCATCCTTGAAAGCGAGCCGCATTAGAGGAGAAGGTTGTTACTCGAGTCGTGGCACATACAGAGGACAGCCCATAATATCAACCACTCTCTCGGAACCCTTCCCCCAGTGTATTCACACGGACTGCGCTCCACGGCAAAACGAGAGAGAGAGAGAGAGAGCTCATTAGCCACCCCACGAGTGCTTTGAAGACGCCGCTGCTATGCAGCCTCCGCAGTCACCCCTGAGGAAGGAACCAGGTCGGTTCCGAAACGTCGGGGTTTCTTCAAAACATTCGATTGGAGTCTAAATCATTTCCCATCTTCTCAATCTGACTTTCAGTGCCAGAAATATAACATTGCAGTCAATTGCAGTACAAAAAGCGCGTTGCAGAGGCCAAACATGCCCTTTTTTTGCCACATTGCTTTCTATGTTACACACTAACCCGAAACGCTTCTGGCAATACAATAATCCCCAGGTGTGTAGCTCTGTTTTCTTGCGTGACAGTTCTGGCTCCCCTGTTCCAGAATCCGAAACTGCTGATGCTTTAAACGATACTTACTGCTCTGTATTCACTAATGAATGTATTGATATTATTCTGCAGTTACCACTGTCTAATCACCCCCAACGGAAAACATCATTATCAACGTGAACGACATTGTTAAAATCATTGAGTTAATAGAAAAATTTTCTTTGTGTGGAATTGATGACATAAACACTAATGTATTAAAAAGCACCTAGCATTTGGCGCTAATATTCCAACAATCCCTCTCCACTGGATCAATACCTTCTGACTGGAAAGTTGGTAAGATAATTCGATGATTCTCATTTTAAAGAAAGGCGACCGTATAAATTCTACTAACTTCTGTCCCATTTACCTCAAGCGTCTGTTCGAAAATACACTTCTAGGTCATTATAACTACACTCTAAGCCAAAATTCAGCAAAACTGGACTAACTGCAGTCATTCAACTAGCGGATGAACGATTCATCCAACATCGATTAAATGCGTGACAGTGCGTGTCGTGCTCAAACGCCGACAACGAAGGAATCAATGGGAAGGTAACTACGCATGGCCTTTTGTCGATTCTTCACTGCAATGCTCGGCCCAGTCGGCTGTTATGAAAAGGAGATATATAGCGGCTATACGCCATCGCCAAAGCAAAGCACTATGAAATGAATATATATATATAGAAGCTAGCTGTCATGAGAGGCAAGTTCAACACGCCGTCAGTACCGTCAGTGCACACAGCAAGCGCCCTCGCGTTTCCACCATGCCGGCACGGACGGGTCGAAAACAAGTGTCTCGGTGCACGGGCAATGCGGACAACTCGCTTCAATGTGCTTTTGTAATTTATTTCGTGTCAATATGCTTTTGTAATATATTTTGTGTCAATGTGCTTTTGTAATTTATTTCGTGTTTGTCCCATGAAATTTAGCTGCCAGTACGCCCCGAGTTTTTGTTTTACGAGGTGTTTCAGTTCTAGCGCAGCATGCATGGTGCTTGCGCTGTCGTAAGAGATTTCCGATGGAGGCGGAAGCGCTGTAGGCCAGTGTGCTCAGATTTGGGTGCACTTAAAGAACCCCAGGTGGTGGAAATTACCAGAGCCCTCTACTACGGCGTCTCTCGTAATCATATCGTGGTTTTGGGACGTTAGACCCCGCATATCAATCAATCAATCAATCAATCAATCAATCTGTCGTTAGAGAAGGCTGCTAGTTGGTCCGTCAACACATTCCCCGGATCTCGCAGTGCCCTGGCACCCAGCACATTACAACTTGTTTTTTTTTTAGTGAGTAGATGGTGCATCAAAAAGAGTGAAGCAACAGAAAACATGATTTTTATGTTTCCTGATCGAGGTTCTGAAAGCTTTTATAACGCTGAGAGAGTAATTAAATATTGCCGCACATTGTAATTTTAATTCCTTAATGTGTTTCGCGGCCACAAGTATCGCGTAGGCTTCCGCTGTGAATATACTTAATTTAAGGTGGAGAATGCCAGAATCTGAAAAGGATGGACCAACGGTGGCATAGCAGACTTAGAAGCATTCTTAAAGAATTCGGGACAGTTGTATTTGTGCCGCCGTTCGAGAAAGTGAGCATATATATGTGTTATTGGCGCTTGCTTCGTAACTTCTACAAATGATGCATCACACTCTACGAGCTGCCACTGACACGGCGGCAGACATGGAGCGAGAGCCATCAGACGGTGTTAAAGAAGTGCCTCACCTGTTTCTTCAGCGAGGCTCTTCACACGAAGTGGGTAGGATTGTTGAAACGAAGGACGGTTTTCGAACAGCGTAGAGCTGAACAAGTCATCGAAAGTCGTGTGTGAAAGGTGTTCTTTGTCTGCATTCGTTTTTAAGTAATATATAAAATACATGCACGTTCTTTGCAGCTGCAATGACCACTCCTTGGATTCGATGTACAAAATGTCCTGGGACTAGTGCGAAAAGCACCCGTAAAAACACGGACGCCCAAATGGTGGACCGGGTCAAGCATTTTCAAAGCACTTGGAGTGGCAGAATGGCAGGTTATTGCCCCATAATCTAGGTGCGTACGTATAAGACTTTTATAGAGATTGATTAGACAATTTCGGTCACTCCCCCATAATGTGCGTGAGAGTACTTTTAGAATGTTCATTGTATTTACACACTTGTTTTTAATGTACTTGACGTGTGATATAAATGTAAGTTTAGAATCCAGAATTAGGCCTAAAAATTTACGATTGGCCTCTACAGGTAACCGCCGACCATGCAAGTCAATTTCGGGATTTGGATGGAGGCCTCTCTTTCTAGAAAACAGTACACAGGTGCTCTTTTCTGGACTTACCTGAACCCGTTTTCATCAGCCTGCTTAGACACCTTGTTCGGACAGAGCTGAACATGCTGCTCACACACTGCAAGATTACACGACTTAAACCCTACCTGGATATCATCCACATATGCGGAATAGACTGTGTTATGTGGAATGCAGAGTCGTGATGAACTTTTTTTCATAATAAAAAAGGTGCAACTCAGGACACCACCCTGCGTTACTCCCGTTTCCTAAATACATTGCCTGGACAAGACATGCCCAATATGCACATGGAATGTTCGTTCGGATATGTAACTCTTTATGGAATTCAACATATTGCCATGAATAACAATGTCTGACAGATCTCTAAGGATGCTGTAGTGCCATGTGGTGTCATATGCTTTTTCTATGCCGAGAAATACACAAAGGCAGTACTGTTTTTGGATAAACGCATCGCAGATGTATGCTTAAAAGCGTACCAGATGGTCCGTAGCAAACCGGCCCTCTCTGACACTATACTGATAAGGATCAAGCAGTTTATTGGTTTCTAGAAAATGCATGCATTTTGTTTATAATTTTTTGAACACCTTGTGCAAGCAGCTTGTAAGAGCTATTGGACTGCAGCTTGTAATGAAGAGGGGTCCTTGCCTTCCTTCAAAATAGAAACAAGAATGGCCTTTCTCCACGTGAACCGCAGGTACCCGGCGGCCCAGATATTGTGGTAAAGGGCAAGTAAAGTGATTTCTGTATTATCGTGAAAGCGCTTGAGCATGCCATACATAATTCTGCCGGGTGCCAGTGCTGTGCTGTGGCACGCTTTCAAGGCTGCCCTAAGCTCAGCAATATTAAATGGAGTGTTATATGGTTCGTTTGTTTTAGACTTACACTCAATTGCTCTGCGTTCTGTCACTTTTTATATTTCAAGAAAGACTTTGAGTAGTGCGCGGAACTGGAAATCCGCTCGAAGTGCTAACCAAGGCTGTTGGCCTGGTCCTCTAGTGTGTCTTCTTGACTCACCAAAGGCAGAGAATTAATGTGCTTGCTGCCCCTTTAAACTTCTGAGGTCACTCTAGACTTTCTTTTGAAAGGTGTAAGATTGAATGCCAGAAAGGAACTCGACCCACCTCTCCTTCCTTGCATGACGTCATGCTTTTGGTGGACCGGGCCAAATGGTGGACCGGGTCAAGGTTTTCTGCATTCGCATATTGGCGCAGGCTACCCCAGGATTAATTTTGCTTCTTACACGCATCCCTACCGTCCTCGTTTCACCAGGGAACATGTCACTCACACGGGTGACCACTTGTTTGCGGGTTACACTTTTCAGCAACCTCAAGAATAAATCCACTGAAGAATAGTACTGAGCAGTCTATGTCACGATTGTGACAAAGTCACGAGGTAAAAGTGTTGATTTCTTCAATTTTCTCCCAGTCAGCGCATGCTATTTTCTATTCGGGAATATGAGAAGGAAAGTCATGCGTTGTTGTGAAGTTTAACATAGGAAAAAAAGGGTCACTGCCGTACGTATGCTTGACCACATTCCATTCTAACTCGGTGAAGAGAGGAGGAGAACCAAGTGCCAAGTCTATTGATGAATATGAGTTGTGATGAGTGTTGTAATAAGTAGGCTGTTTTTTTATTGAAGAGTGAGGCTCCGGAACATAGGAGGAATTTCTCTATCAGTCGGCCTCTCAAATCGGCGTCACCCCCCCCCCCCCTCCACAGATTATTGTGAGCATTGAAATCACTAACAACAATGTAGGGCGCCGGCAGCTGATGAATGAGGTGATGGAAATCTGTGCGGTTAAGTTGGTAGTTTGGTGGTATGTATAGTGGGAACACAGTGACCAATTTGTCAAATGGACGCGGACTGACACTGCTACGAGTGCCGTCTGAAAACTAAGATTGGCAAGACACAAATTTTTCTACTATTTTAGCTACACCGCCGGACGAGGCAGCTGCCTCATTCCGGTCCCGCAAGTTGCAGAACATAGCATATCATCCCAGAAAGTTTGTTTGTGCTGATTTCATATATGTCTGTTATGCACAGCACCTTGGGATTGTATTTTTGTGAAAGTTCTGTAACGTCATTGAGATTTAGGAAAAGACCCCTAGCGTTCCAGTGCATTATTTGTGTAGTCGTTTTGAGTGCGTTTTTGTGCTGTGCGTCGAAGTAGACAACCTTAGCTTAGGAGGCCTTTTCAGGCCCACTAATGCCTGTTTTTTTTTTCTTTTTTGGCAGGCTCCTTAGAACCACGCCTATAAATATATATCTTTCGGCGTCTGAGGCACCGATAGACTTTGCATTGTGTCCATCGTGTCGGCAGCGCGTGTCGCATCGCGTGCCGCATCGGCGTAAGAAAGTTGGACGAATAAAAGTATGTTCCATGCTTCTTTGTATGAGATGTTTTCGTTAACCTTCAGTGTTATTATTTCCTTCTCTCTCTTCCACGCAGGGCAAGAGTAAGCAGGGTGATCTTCGTCGCAGTTGGAACAGTGTGTATCACAGGTGCACGTCTCGACTGCATGTTCTTGAGACCTACATTTTGCCGATGACTGGCGGCCACGGCAGCTCTGTGAGTTGTGGCCAAACTTCTGACACTTTAAGAACATGCGAGGTTTAGGTATATACGGTCGGACACGCCTATTTATGTAGCCTGCTTGGATATATATGTTCTGTGAGTGTGGCAGTATCAAAAGTGAGGATTAAGTGGTTTATTGGTACTTCCTGGTCATTGCTCCTTATTTTGATTTCTTGCATTTGAAGGATGTTTTGGTCTTTCAATTCATCAAGGAGCTAGTTAAGACTCTCTGAGGTTCAGAAGGTCACTGTCAGATATCACACCTCGGGCTGTGCTCAAGGGACGGTGGGCTGTTATAGATTTAAGAGTGGTGTCAAAAGATGTGAGAGATTTTAAGTTGTCTTACTTAGCCTTGTGCTAAAGTTCTAGATGAATGTCTACACTGGCCATTCTTATGGCTTTGTAATCAGCTCCAAAGGTGTCTGTAAGACATTTTGAGACTAAGAAAGGTGACACTGATCTTGCTGTTATGTCCGGACATTCGGTGTGAATGATGTGAAAATGCAGAAAATTTTCAGTTTTCTTCGCATGAAACTGGAAGTTTACCTTGGTGCACCCTTTTTCAGAAAGTGGGTGATTGAGAAGGTGTGGGAGAAAGGTTAAACCCATAAAAAAATCTTGTTTTTGGTAGCTAGGCCAGCCACGCACGATCGAGCCCAACACGGGAACGCTGCAGAAACCCGCAGGTGTCGCAGACACCCCCGCGTGTACTCGCTGGATTCCGTGCCGACCGGTTGTGCCCTCGCGATCTCTGACGACAGCGCAGCTCTGGCCGACTGGGCTGGTACTACACCACCTCCTGCCGCCGGTCCCCTACCACGACGTCAACGCAGCTCTGGCCGACTAGATTAGCCCTACACCATCTTTTGTCGCCGACAAGAGCTCTCGCAAGTGGTGCCCCGTCCTCGGACTCCTGTGATCGTGTTTCTTCTTTCCTATCTCTCTTATGTCCTCGCTCGTTGTCCTTGCGCATCTCTCTCTATATATACCTTTAATCCTGTCCTTTTAATCTCTTCTTGCCCCCATCCCTTGTGAGCTATAGACTGTTAAGGTGTCGCACGCTGATGCAGACAGTTACGGGGCTCATTTTTTTTTCTTCTTTTCCTTCTTATAATCACAATATCACCCCCACGTGTAATATAGATACGAAAAAAATCACCAGGTTTTGATGATATCTTGAATGTTTTTCTTAGCAGATATGCAATCTGGGTGTCAGATTATTTGAATAAAATATATGTAACCCGATTAGAAACTTGTGTGATACCCGTTGACTTGGGCTCTGCGAAGATAGTCCCAACTCATATATCTGGGTCACCATCAGAATTAAACAACTATATATACAGGTCAGTTTTCCTAACATCCACAGCTTGTAAGTTACTATAACATGTGATATTTAAGGCAATTATGGCACATCTGGAAGATAATAAACTTCTTCATGACAACAAACGTGGATTTAGGTCTGGCTTATCCACTTCAACTCAATTAGCCGAGATAACTCATGATTTTGTAAATTCACTAAATTTTAAGGGCCAGATTGATGCTGTGTTTTCAGATTTTTCTAAAGCGTTCGATGTAGTGCCACATAATAATTTAGTTACGAAACTTTACGCTATTGCTATTCACCACAACGTCGTCCGCTGGATTGCATGTTATTGGTCTACAAGGAACCAATATGTGATGGTTGATGATTGCGTTTCTGACACATTATATGTACACTCAGTGGTGCTGCAAGGGTCGGTGTTTGCACCATTATTATTTTTGGTGTACGTAAATGATCCCCAATTTTCAGTTTCATCACCTGTGAAAATCCGACTTTTTTGCGGACGGCTTTGTTGCTTATGCCAGCATTGATCAGCATTCTGATCAAGCCAGACTTAACGAGGCATTGCACTCCATCTACGCTTGGTGTGAGGAATAGGGCTGGAAGCTTAACGCAACAAAAACGTCATTCATTACAATTACAAATAAACAAAATTCATTATCATTTTATTATACCAATAGCAACACGTGTATTGGAAAGACAACGCAAGTCAAGTACCTGGGTGTCACGCTCACAGGTATTTTAAATTGGGAACCCCATATAAACAGCATCTGTAGCAAGACGCTGTAGAAGTTAGCATTTTCAAAACGCAAACTACGTCATACTTCACCCTCTGTAAAACTACCAGCTTACAAAGCGCTTGTCAGTACTAAGTTAAAGTATGCAGATCTGGTTTAGGCTCCGTATCAGAATATATTTAATAAAAAATTAGAGAGGGTGCAAAACCTGATTATGAGGTTCATTTATTCAAGCTATTCTCGTTTCGCGAGCATATCTGCCCTTTGCGAGAGGGCAAAGCTTACGACACTCGCTCATCGTAGAGTAGTTTCTCGTCTAAAATTTATTTATGAGCTATACCATGGCCACTTCAAAATACCACCCGATCGTTACACAACCTGCCCGCCCACGCTCTTTGAACGTATTCATCACAACAAGACAGTTAGACAACCATTCAGTCACCTCAACGTATATCAGTATTCATTATTCCCTCATTTCTGTTCATTATGGAACAAGTTACCGGGAGAAGTGGTTAATGCTCACACAACACAATCGTTCGCCCATCTCATCAATAATCTGTCTCTTAACTTTCAAAATGCTGCTATGTCTTGTTTATGTTCTTAATTGGTGCTGCGAATTGTTGTATTTTTTTTCTATTTATGCGTTACATTCCTCATTCATGTTGCAAATTTTCGTAACTTTTGTACCTCAATTTTTTTATTATTCTCACTGACAGTTATGTACCTACTCCTGCTTAGGCCCAAATTGGGCCTGCAGTGTTTTAAAATAAAAATGATAAATAAACACCAGCTGAACGAAGCTACTATAACATGATATAGCATACCCAAAATCGGATACTGTACACCAGGTTAACTCTTGCCGCCAGAAAAATTAGAAGTAATTGAAGAGAAGAGAGGACAGGAAAGATTGAAAGAGAGAAAAAGACGAAGATGTCGGAAGATAAATGGATAGAAAAAGGCCACTGCCTGTTTCCCCTGGGTGGGTCAGCCCAAGGGGGCAGTCTACGTGAAGCTGGGGTCAAAGGGTGTGTTGCCTCCACCGGGGTGCCTTAAGGTCCAAACATCCAGCCTCAACTCAACCCCCAGTATCCCCTTTTCCCCGGACACGACTAAATCACACACAGCGAAGCATGGGAGCAGGTCGAAACCCTCCCGTTGGATCGGATCCGTGGTGTTGCCACACACCAAACGCCTGATTGCGCAGACGCCCCTGAAGGGCGTGTTTCGGTTTTGTTTTCAAGGGGAAAAAAAAAACGAACCATTTTGACCTTCGTGGCCCGATTTGAAATGGTAAGCCTAAAAGGTGAAGGCGGTGAAACGTAACCATTGAACATTTTTTAAAAATGTTTTGGGACAAAATAGCTTCAAGCCATGGAAACACAAACGGAGCCAGAATAATGAAGACTAGACAAATACGTGTACTACCCATCATTCCCATGCTCGCTGAAGCGCCATGCATTGCAGCTCTCAATGACACTAGTGCCCGAGTTCCCTATAGCCTACATTTAGGTAACTCTATGTGCGGAGCCACAGCTATTAAGCAGAGTTCGCTGCTCTTGGATCGTTGACGATTATGGCAAACGTTTAAAAAAAAGGCTTCTTGTCGCAGGGAAGTGAACACGAGGTAACACGAGTTATTCGCAAAATGGCTCAGTTTGAGCAAACTTAGAAAGCACCTCGTCGAGCGTTCTCAGGAGCAATGCCTCTTTCATTTCTTTCAATGCCGGTGCAAACGCGCGCTTATCAATGGGAGTCATCAGTCACCTTAGTTCTGGGAGCGGTCGTGATGCGACGCTGCATGAGGGGTTGCGCTAAGGAAACTTATTTCATCTAGGAACCTTAGGTCGCGCTGCTTGTGCCACACGCTCTTCCGAGTGCTTTGCCCCTGAGGTACGATATACGTGTTTCCCACTACAATATCGTACGTCTGTCAAATTCGTTTCTTCGTGCTTCTTTTTCGTGGCCCGAAGCAACGCTACTAACGCATCACGGCACAGCGCATTTAGAAGCGTTGCAGTGACGCTTTCCCATTGGTTGCCTGCATAGCGCCAAGAAGGGCGACGCGCTATCTCAAAACACCGTATCTTTTACAGAGCCAGCGTGACCGCCAATATTGTGAACAGGTGGAATGCAAGACGCTGCCCCATAGATCTGTACACAACTAAACCTTAATATGATTTCCGTCGTGAGGCACTGCATGAGGAGGCTCCCTCCTCCATGACAGCAAAGCACACGTGAGGGTTAGGCGATGAGTGAGAGCAGGGAAGGGCTAACGGAAAAGGTAAATAACGGCTGGATCGGTGATAATCGGTCGCATCTCGCTACTCACATAGAAAGGGCAGCGCGAAAACTCGGGAAAAAAGAAGGACAGTAGAGACGGAGAGCTGTCTTCTCGAGCATCTGGCTAGCAATTGATAAAATAAAGGAGGCGTTGACAGGAGTAAGATTTGTTCAGCATGTTGGTGTGGCGTACGTCTACTCCAAAGATAGAATAAATGTACGTTATTTTCGCAGTGTTACATTTTTCGCAACACAACCGCCCGTGCCTGGGTTGATAACGGTTGTAAATTGTGTCCCATGTACGTGTGACGAACATGCAAAGCTATCTTCAATTCTGATTAACAATAATGGAGTTCTAGATAGTTTGGCTGTTCCCCATTAAGGAACCACTTTACTGCTACTAATTCTGGTGACGCTAGTAAGAACTAAGACCCAGATATGGGCCACTTTCCACGACTGTGCAAAAAGTTTAACACAACCTAACAAACTCATCGTGGTTCAAGTGACAGTTTGAATGGCCGCTTGAAAGCAAATCGAACCAGTTGCGGCCCATGCACCCACGTAAGTGGTCGATCTGCATCACGTCACCGTCAATGGTCACTTTAAAGCTTGAAGTTGGTCTCAGTGTCGTTCAAGTAGTGCCATCTCAGTGACTGATTGAAAGCAAGTGGGACCAGTTTGCGTACAAGTGCCATGCATGCCATTTTAATGGGCACTTGAGAGCAAGTGGTACCACTTTAAACCACCTGAATGCCCACTTGAAAGCCAATGGGATCACTTCAGTGGCCCTATGAAAGCAAGTGGTACCACTTTGAATCATTTGAATTCTCACTTCAAGTTTTTGCCAGGATTTATTCATTTATTTATTTATTTATTTATTTATTTATTTATTTATTTATTTATTTATTTATTTATTGATAATGTTAGCCAAAGGCCGTTACATGGTGGGGTAAAGAAGTACGCTTCACTTGTTGACACAAGCACTACAAAATGAAATCAAGAAAGACAACACAGCGGGCAGTTTTAACAGAGGACCAATCCAACAGGTAAGTCAATTAAGGTTTGCACAGTAGTGACCAACGATTGGCATGGTAGCATAACTTCATACAACACACTTGACGAAGGCTATACCATATACATCAAAAACTTCAGCGTCGTAAAAACTTTTCCTACCAATGTAACGTACAGTTATAGAAAAATATACAAAAAAGAGAACAGGACAGGGCTGGACGGTATTGTTATGCAGTAGTATGTCAGATATACACTTGAGTTCCTGTATCGAGATACATTAGATTAATGTATTTGTATCACAGTGGTAAAATACTTATCCTTTGTATAGAATGTATCGGATACTGTAAAGACGGAGTTATGTCGCTTCTCTTTTGTCAGAACTGAGCCGATATGTATGGAATATATAAAGAAAAGCTTGTATGCGCTTAGCTAGTAAAAAGGGCCCCGCCAGTCGGCGACACATGGAGATCAGCGAAGAGTACGCTACACCCACACAATTTTTTATGTGGTTAAATGTTTGACGCAACTGAGGGCAGAATCGAGGAGGCAATGCTGACGATCATGGATTTTGCTCGAAGCCGGTGACACTCGGTCACTTTCATTTTCAGAGATAATTTCAGTATTCAGTTTATAACACGAAGTTGTGATCTCCTACAATAAGAGACAGCCTTTTCTATATCGCCCGTGTTGAATTAAAACTGAACCAGTGCTCTGTCTACAGACATTGTATTTAGAACCTCCTGTGACTTTAGTGTAATTAGTGTAAATCTTCTCAGCAAAACAAATCGATCATTAGTGTGGGCATACTTTAACTCTCATCAGTGGTGTTTGTTATTGAGTCGAGCTATACGACTGATTGCATTTTAATAATCTGCAGCATTATCGACAATGTTACGGTACACT